TATTAGCAACATTATTTACCGGAATTGTTTCAAATTTGATGATATTAGCGACATTATTCAATGGAATTGTTTCAAATTTCGTATTTGAAGTTCGGAATCGATACTACAGCCTATGACAAAAATTACTTATGCAGGTCCTCGTCTTCGTATATCCCCAATATAACAGTTTTCATTTAAGTGGTATTCTTTATGTTACAGAAACCCTTCTCCATTTATTATACCCTCCACCTTGGAAAGGAGGGTATATTAACTTTGTCATTCCGTTTGTAACATCCCTAAATATTCGTTTTAGACCCCATAAAGTATATATATTCATAATCAGCATAAAATTCTAAGTCGATTTAACGATGTCCGTCTGTCTGTCTGTCCGTCTGTCTGTCTGTTGAAATCACGATACAGCCCACATTATTTGACGTAGAGCTCCAAAATTTAGCAGAGCTATTTGCATTGTGTCTAGGATGGTTGGTATTGAAAATGAGATATATCGGTCCACGTTCTGGTATAGTCCCCATATAACGGTACCTCCCGATATTTGGTATTTTGATGATTTATGCCACATTTTTTCACGGATTTGTCTTAAAATTGGTATTTGTAGGTCATAGCGGGTCCCTGAGCATGTGGCAAAACATTGCATGTATAGGTCCACGTTGTGGTATAGCCCCCATATAAAGGTACCTCCCGATATTTAGTATTTTAGTTTTTTTACCACATTTTTTCACCGATTTGTCTAAAAATTGGTAATTGTGGGTCATAATGGTTTCCAGCTCCGGTGGCGGAACATTGCATGTATGGGTCCATAATTTGATATAGTCCCCATATAACGGTACCTCCCGATATTCGGTATTTCGATGATTTATGCCACATTTTTTCACGGATTTGTCTTAAAATTGGTATTTGTAGGTCATAGCGGGTCCCTGAGCGTGTGGCAAAACATTGCATGTATAGGTCCACGTTGTGGTATAGCCCCCATATAAAGGTACCTCCCGATATTCGGTAATTTGATGATTTTTGCCACATTTTTTCAGGGATTTGTTCGAAAATTGGTATTTGTTGGTCATAATTGGTTCCAGCTTCGGTGGCGAAACATTGCATGCATGGGTCCATGATTTGATATAGCCCCCATATAACGGTACCTCCCGATATTCGGTATTTTGATGGTTTTTGCCACATTTTTTCACTGATTTGTCTAAAAATTTGTATTTGTGGGTCATAATGGGTTCCAGCTCCGGTGGCGAAACATTGTAATTATAGGTCCACGTTTTGGTATAGCCCCCATATAACGGTACCTCCCCATAATCGGCATTTTAATGGTTTTTGCCACATTTCTTCTAATGTTTCTTTTAACCTAAGGTGGAGGGTATTAAAAGTTTGGCCGGCCGAACTTAATGTTTTTTTACTTGTTTTTTGTAATTTTATACAAATGCATAATTTTGAAAAAAAAAATAATTAAACATATGACTTTACCTTCTTCGTTCTACCATCAATCTAACATTGCAATCAAAAAAGCCATATTTTATGTTTGTGCATATACCTCTAAGTGAAGGATATCGCATACTTTTACTATTTATTTTTACTGTCCGACCTTCTTCTTTTTTGATGCCAAAAATGCATATCGATCAATGACTTTAAGTAGTCACTAAGTTCTAAGGATACAATATTTATTTCAAATGAAAACCTAATGACGCACAAAATTAATATTAAGACTATGTGTAACATAAAAACCAAAAACCTTAAAGTCGCCGTGCCAATAAAAGCTATTTGCAAAACCACACAGCAATCTACCACCCACATTTGGCTCTGTCATTACAAAAATTAATTGTGCCACAATAGGCAGTGCCCCCTAAAAATAAATATTTCCTAAAAATAATTAAATTCTGTCATAATTAATTATTAATTTTTTATTGAAATAGTTTACAATGAAATGTTAGAGAAGGTCGGTATGATAAGAAATTATATTGAAAGTGAAACAGTAAGAAATCTGTAGGTCCACAATCTAAATTTTTTCTTGAGTAGAACTTGGATAGTCCTGGTATTTAATTAGGATATGCAAATATAATATTAAATTCAAAATAAATATTACATCAAAGACATAAAAGTATATAAAAATATGGCAACCCTGTGAAAATACGTCTGTTGTCATGATATCATCACAATATAGTTACCAATATACACATTTTTGGAAAGGTCAGTGTAATAGAATTTTGAAACTACAATTTTGGATTTTTCAAACTTTTATTTGTCATTCGTTTCTGTAATTGTGGTTTTTATACCCTCCACCATAGTATGGAGGGTATATTAAGTTTGTCATTCCGTTTGTAACACCTCGAAATATACATTTTAGACCCACAAAGTATATATTCTTGTTCATCTTAAAATTCTATGTCCGTCTGTGGAAACCACTCTAGCTTCCGAACGAAATGAAGTAGGTTGATAAAATTTTTCTACAATGTGTATTATGTCTGCAGGACTTTTGGTATTGAAAATGGGTAATGTAGGTCCACGTTTTGGTAAAAACCCCATATAATGGTACCTCCCTTTTTCGGTATTTTGGTAATTTAAGCGACATTTTTCACCGGAATTGTTTCAAATTTGGTATTTGAAGTTCGTAATGGGTACTACAGGCTATGACAGAAAATAGTCTGTGCAGGTCCACGTCTTCGTATATCCCCATATAACTGTACCTCCCCATATTCGGTATTTTTATACCCACCACCATAGTATGGAGGGTATATTAAGTTTGTCATAGCGTTTGTAACACCTCGCATTATACATTTTAGATCCCACAAAGTATATGTATTCTTGATCAGCATAAAATTCTATATCGATTTAACAATGTCCGTCCGTCTGTGGATATCACTCTAGCTTCCGAACGAAATAAAGTAAGTTGATAAAAATTTACTTAAATGTGTATTATGTCGGCAGAACTTTTGGTATTGAAAATGGGCCATGTAGGTCCACATCTTCGTATAGCCCCCATATAACGGTACCTCCCGATATTCGGTATTTTGATGATTTTAGCGACATTATTCACCGATTTTTTTTTATTAAGTTTCGCATTTGAATATTGTAATGGCTTTTAACAAAAGTTACCTATGCAGGTCCATGTTGTGGTATAGACCCTAATATAACAGCTACATTCGGTATTTTTAAGATTTTAACATAATTTTTAAGGAATTTTATTGTTTTTGAGAATTGCCAAATTCGTTCTAAATGGTGGATGTTATTTAAAGTTCGGCCCGTATGAACTTATAGCTTTTTACTTGTTTTCTTTCGATTTTTTCAATAGTACTTCCCGTGACCTCCATTCCTTCACAATCTTTACCAGAACACCATCAAACAACTGGCAGCGATTTACTGTGCCTAGAATTTGCATCATTTTCATAATTATTATTTTCTTTTGGGTTTGCAATTACATCTTGCCAAGACATTCATAGCATTCATGCATCGTTCCCCAAATGAAAAATGAGCCACAAACGCTTATAAATCCTCTGAGGTTTACAGAGCATGACAAATTTATGGAAGCAAAGAAAATTATTATAAGTGCCTAATTATGCCAGCATAAGGATGATATGTAAGTGTGTTACTAGGCGAAAGTGTGTGAATTGGATATCTGCAATAATTTAAAAGTTAGTGGAATTTATTAACTAATTTAAAAGACAAAGGATTATAATTTCTGAAGTCATCGAACAATTTTTGCACCTATAGTCATTGAATAATCACTTAAGTTGCATTTCATTTATGCCAAACTCACTACATTGTGTGTTTGATACACCTAAATGTCCAAGCAATTTTCAAAAGACCCAAACACCTATTTTCACTGGTGAAAATCCTTCTATTATAGGGCTGCAACTTTGTGCTTTTAAAGCAAAAGAGGGACATCAACTGTAAAGGTGAGAATACATAAACCGCTTTTTTGACTGGCTTAAGTCACCGGCTGGCTTTTTCATAAAAGCACAAAAGTCTAACAAGTATGAATTATGGGACAGAATTGAACTAAGTCAACTTAAAGCTCCTTTATTATTATACGTAGAAGGCAGCCAATGACTTCAGCCAATCAAAAACGCATTTTATGTACTCTCACCTTAAGTGCTCTGTTTCAGAACTGCACAAATGTAAAAGATTTTACTACGATAACCGATTTTCTCGTTATGATATCGAAGAAAATTGCAAAACTTGTAGATTCTTGCAGGTTCTGGAACAGAGCAAAGATGTGCTGCTTTGTTTCGCTAAATGATTTAAAGCTCTATCAGACGACATGGGGGCTATAAGAAAACGTGGACCTATATATACAATGTTCCGCCACCGGAACTAGAATCCAGCATGACTAACAAATACCAATTTTTAAACAAATCCGTTGAAAATGTGGCGCTAATCATCAAAATACGGAATATCGGGAGGTATGGGGGCTATACCAAAACGTAGACTGATATATCAATACCAAATATCCTAGACGCAATACAAAGTGTTCTGCCAAATTTTGCACCTCTACCCCAAATAATGTGGGCTATATCGTGATTTCAACAGACAGACGGCCATCTTTAAATCGACTTAGAATTTTATGCTGATTATGAAAATAATATACTTTATAGGGTCTACGACGAATATTTAGGGATGTTACGAACGGAATGACTTTATGTTGGGAACATAGAAAATCGTGAACCGATATACCTAATTTTCAATGTCAATCATCCTAGATGCAATACTTCAAAAATCTAATATTTCTGCATCTTCATTTCAACTGAACTTAATCGTTTAATTGACTAAGAATTCTATGCTGATATCCCCATCTTAGACGGTTTAATAAAGATTTTTGTATTTATATAAAAAAATTTTAACTTTTTGGAAACATTTTCCGAACAATTTTGGTAGACAATTTTTTCACAGTGGCAACCGTGATTATATATGTGAATTGAGAGAAGGACATGGAGCGCCTTTATATTCGGTGGAATTCTTAGATTTTATGTTTATATTGATAAGTTTGTTATTTCTACAAAAGGGAGTAATAAATAAAATAAATATACTCCAAAAATTATTAATTTTAAGACCTATCTTCAATCAGATTTATCCGAGGCCTGTTGAACTAGTCTTTATTCCAAATGTGCCCGCTTTGATATTGATCACAGAAGACTTGTAACTCTGGATGAACCATTGTATGGGAATTATGCACAACAAATCCTGAACCGATTGTAATTACGTTTCATAGACCCTCTATCTTAAATAGGACAAGATTAAGATATCCTCCCTTTTACGTAAAGGGTTTAAAATTCCTATTTGAAAATACAAAAAAATCCCGCACTTATTGAATTATGCCTCACTTAAAGAGGCGTTAGTGTGTAGTGTTTTAAGACTTTCATCGAACTCGACATTGGTGGGTGGAATGGAATTAAACATTATGTCCCTTTTAAATCCATATCTGCACTTGTATTCACTAATCCCAATTGGAATTTTTAAGCGATTAGAAAACAAAATCAGGTGTCTGGTAAAACCCAGTTAATATTACGTGTGTGTGTGTTTTCCCTTAAAAAGGCAGTTGGAAAATCCTCATAAGCAACAGGTAATATTTAGAGTTCCATCATTCTGTTTAGCATTTAAAACGCAATACTAAAACTCCACTAAACTAGTCTCTAAATTAATACCAACGAAAAATGACGCAAGCCCGACACTGCCGCCTATGTTTCGAAGCCTGTAGTGTGTACTACACATTGTTGGATCCAAAAGGAAATAACAATAAGAAATTTCAAATTCTACAAAACTATTTCGAGGAAAAGGTAAAGTTTAATGGAATTTATCCTGAGGGTCAGGATATTGATTGATACCCTTTTGTTTATTTTCAGTTCTTAAACGCCGAACGAAGACGAAATTTAACAGTTGTCTGTTTAAACTGCTGGCAGCCGGTTTGTGATTTTAATAAATTCAAGGAATCCTTACTTTTATTAGATGCAACATTCGATGAAGCCCAAACAATTAAATTACTTAAAAAAGAAGAAAAACTTCCCGATGATTTAAAATTACATATCAAAAAAGAGCCAGATGAAAATCATCCACCTAATGATCAACAAAAACCCCAAGTTGTGGATGAAAATTCGAATAACGAGTATTCCAAAGAATCTCTTATCACCAAATTGACTTCTGTTCCATTATACGAAGAAGATTCTAGTCTATTGGATGAGAGTTTAGAAGATTTTGAAATTTCCCTTTCCGATGCCAAGAAAGAACCAAATGAAAACCAAAGTGGAAAGGACCTTAACAATTCCAAGGCAATGAAATCGAAACAAACTGCAAAATCAAAGGAAAGTAATGTTGCCAACAATATTTCCATGCAGTCATTGGATCTTGATGAAAGCTTAGAGGATTTCGAATTTTCCTTTTGCAATGATGCTCCAGTGAAAGTGGAAAAAATTGATAACGATGACAAGAAAAATGTGGCTCTCCAAATGATTTCAATCCCAGCAGAGAAAGAAAATCTAAAACTTTTAGAAGATAGTCTAGAGGATTTTAATATTTCCCTTTGTGATGTTAAAAATGAAGCCAATGAAAATCAGCCACCCAATCTCCATCTTGACACCCCGCAGACTGAAACTAAATCAGTTGCAAAAAACTCCACAGATCACAAAACGCCTTCCGGTCCTCAAACATTGAGTCAAAATCCAAATGAAATGAATCAAAGTGTGGATGATTTTGACATATCTTTTACAGAGCTAGAATCAATAGACATACAATTTAGTTCCGATGACGATGCATCTCTGCCAGATTCAGTTGACACGGCAAGATCTGAATCACAAATGAAATATGATGATAACATTTCTGAAAGACTCAAAGTTAGACATAATTGGGATAAATGTCATTTGGAAGCATTGAGACAACGATTAGAAGAGGCTGACGATGACGATAAACCATCATTGAGGATTGAAATCGAAAAAGTAATGGACGCTATTAGAGAAAGAAGACGAAGACATCGAAAGAACAATCGCCGAAATCGTACATTAAAACGATTGAAGGAAAAGAAACGTCGTAGACACTACGACTAGAGTACTTCACAGAATAATTGTACAAAAATACTAATTTATGTAAATATTTTAATAAATAAACCGTGCCATGAAATAAACTATAAAAATTACATCGCTTTAATATTACATATTTGACAAGTAGAAAAAATCTGCACCAAAGTCTTATAGTGTCAAATAAACCTTTAAACCGCGCAAAAATTGTTTATATTCCTAGAGTTATGCCAAATTTGTATAATTATTGACCATTAACATCGAAATATGTATTTAATATGTATTTAATTAAATTTATATAAAATTGTCCAATAAAAATGATTATTTTTTTTTATTTATTTAAATATATAATTTTTGGGAGATAGTATTTTCGTTTAGATACAAAAGTGATAGTACATATGACACTAATTTCTATTAACACCATTTTAAACCCAGTAAGGAAACGTCAAAAGTCGGGCGGGCCGACTATACGCTACCCTACACCACTATACATATTCAGTAAAGCTCCCGTAACAAAAGAATTTATTTGATGTAGATCATACCACCTATCAACATTTGGCTTTAGAGCAGTTATAGTTTGGTTTCAGAGGGAACTAATATATGAGAGGCATAACCAATTCTGAATCGATTTTCACTAAATTTGACAGAGACATTTTAATATTTTATACAAAATAACATTGCTATAGAGTGTATGATATTACTTCGAGAAGGATTATATTAAAACAAGTAAAAAGCAGTAAGTTCGGGCCGGGCCGAACTTTGAATACTCTCCACCATTTTGTATGAATTTGGAAATTTTCAAAAAATAACATTCGCCAAAAATTCTGTTAAAATCTTAAAAATGCCGAATGTAGTCGTTATATTGGGGTCTATACGAAGGACCTGCATAGGCAACTTTTGTCCTAAGACATTACAATATTGAAATACGAAACTTGAAAAAAATTCGTGAATAATGTAGCTAAATTCATCAAAATACCGAATATAGGGTGATACTGATATATGGGGCTTGTAAAAAGGCCTAGACCTGCATAGACAATTTTCTGTCATAGACTGTAGTTCCCATTACGAAGGAAAGCCTTATGTGGATCATCAACATACCGAATATCGAGGGTATCGTTGTAAGGGGGCGATACGATATCGTGGATTATATAAAAAATTCGCTTCCAGAGGGTGGAGTTTAAAAAAGAACTCCTTGTTTGGATTTTCAGACAAGTCCATTGGAAAATGTGGCTAAATTAATAACAACAAAATACCGAATATCGGGGGTACCGTTGTATGGGGGCTATACGATATCGTGGACCGATATATCGGAGACGAGTTCCACAAAATGGAAACGTACGTCCGTAAATTCTATCCATTTGGGCTGATACTAGGCATTATTTGCACAATAAACCTGAGATAGGATTAAAGATATTTTTCTCAATTTTCTCCAAATTTGATTTACTTGCTTCTAGACTGAATTCGGTCGGATGTACCAAAGTACAGGTCATTTGGACCTATATTAGCCATTTGGTGCACAATTAACCCAAAATTGCCATATCTAAATCTGTAGGGTTCGTCCTTGGGCCAAACAAATATTGTTTAGATATTTCATCTCAATCGGATAATACATGCGAGCTGAATTTTGTTCACAAGAATACATTAAAGGGCGGATAAAGGGACTGACATGTATATATCGACTCAGAAAGTGATTCTATGAACATCCTCAAAACTAGCTATGGATCTATCTCTCTTCCTTCTCTATGTTCTCTATGTTACCACTATGTGGTATAGGGTATATACAGTGTTTAGTGCTGTCATTTATTTGTTAAAACTGGTACAATTGTCACTAATGTCATGTATATTTAATAACTCACAAAAATACCAAATTATACAAAAATGTATAGGAATTTTTCGTTTGGATATTAGATGCTTACCAGAACGTAAAGTCATATACCACTATTTTTATTTAAAATTGCATAACTAATGTTTTGTTAATTTCTAAAAAAAAAATATTTTTTTGTTTGCCATTCAATGTTTTAAAATTCGGCAAAAGGGCTGTAAAATGGAGCAAATTTAAAATGTTAACGCTATAATAAAATGTGTAAACTATTCCTTAGATGGAATAATTTTGATTTTTAATGTCCTATTTTTGCTGTGCGACTACCTGTTTAATCTGCATTCAACACAGCATTGCCCATGGCACAAGAATTTTCTTGCATCATGGCATTGCCAGACACAACAAAATATCTTTATTTTCCTTCTCTCGCTCTCTCTCTTTCTATGACAAATGACATTTGTGTATTTTTGTTGTTGTTGAGAATGCAAGGGAAATTGAGATTTTTTTGTTATTTTGATTTTGAAGTTGGTGGAGTACGTTCGCGGCGGTTGATGTAAACAAAACAATCAAAACGGCTGCAATTGAATTTGGAGCCCCAATACTAAAAAGTAATATTTAAATAAATTGTGAAATAAAATAAGAATAATAAATGAAAGAAAATACAAATAAATTTAGTTTTTAAAGGACTAAAAAATAAAACGCTTAAATTTAAATGTGTATAAAACTGATCCATGTGGTAAAAACTGAAACTGATCCAGGGAAAATAGTGCAGAAGGATGATAATGTGTATCGTCACGATAAATATTTGTGCAGCAACATACAAGCCAATCAATTTGTCCAAAATGCGGTTTGGTAGCGTTTTTCAAAATATCCTAACATACAGGCATGTCACGGTACGGTACGAAAGTGAATTCGTAGTTCACCAAATCGTATGAAATCTGAAGAAGCTAGAACAAAAATGAACTATTTTGAATTACGAAATTAAAACCACTTCGATACGAGTTTGTGACATGCCTGATAATCAAAGAATCCCAGAAATTAGTTTGCATCAAATAATACATTTAAAGTTGGAATTTTTAGCATGAATCACTCTTGATTTGTTTTATAATGATCGCCGGATAATATGCATCCGTTTTGCTTTATCAGCAGTTTTTTGCTAGATTCTTAAGAAATGCAATTCTTGAAAATTCTTGAATAAAAATGGAACAGCTCTAGTTTAGTGAAAACCCTTCGAATTTTTCGAAATTTTTTTCAGAGGTAGGTATTTTTACCCTGATTCCGGGAAACAATTTTTTTCTTGGGGGCTACTTACAAAAAGTGCCAAATTTGCAAAACGTTTTTATTAAAAACGCAATTTTAATGAACTGGTTAGAATCGGGTTATGCGGATGGAAAGACCAATATCGCTGGACTCAGTAAAGGTATTAGCACAGATTGTAGCATTTTGGAAAGATAAGAGTGTCAGCTATATCTTGGCATCAATTTTCCATAATGGACCCTTTTTTGACTTTTTGGGGTTTTATAAAAAATCCGGGTCCAAAAAATCGATAATTTGACTATAACTTCCGAACCGTGACCACTTACCCCATCATGTGGTCACTTGTTGGATAGGTATAGGAAATACCAATCCAATCATATGATAGGACTATTGGAACCGCCTCCTGAATAATGCTAGAAAATTGGTATTTTTATACCAGTACTTTTTGAAAAACCCCCAAAAATTCAAAAATGGATCCATTATGGAATATTAAAAGCTGCAAACTTATTGTAGCCTAACAAAATTCCTTTCCAAAATGGTGCCATATGTATTGATATCTCTTGTAGTTCCGAAGATATTAGTGTTGTAAATCATGACATTGAGATTTTCTAACCTTTATAGCTTTGTACCGAATATATTGACTTTAAAGTCGAGTTTCCGATACTTAAAAAAGTTATAAAAAATTAGAGAAACTATGGATCGCGTAGCCGATGTTTGATATACCCTAGAGGAGAAAATCTCAAGCCCCGGCCGAAGACCGGCTACTTACAAAAATTACAAAGTTTAGAAAAACTATAGATTGCGTAGCCGGTGTGAGACATATCCCAGAGAAGAAAATCTGAAGTCCCGGCCGAAGTGGATAAAAGCCGAATTTTGTATCCGAACTTGCAGGTCGAATAACCGCGTAACCGGGTATTTTCCCATAAAAAATTACTTTGACGTTATCAGGGTACGAAGTCCTACACGTGGTAAAAATTGCAGATCAATCCGAGCATACTCAACTTAAGAATTACATCCGATTTTTCTGTCGAAAACTTTTTCAACACATTCATATGAAACCAATATCAAAGTTCAGAATTAAAGCTCTGTAATTTCCCGCATTACCAACGGAAGTACAACAATAGTACGCATTTCCAAAATCAGCTCCTTCTCTAAACCACAGACACTAATAGTTGCATCCATATCAAATTCCAGGATACCAGCTTTATCCTTCACCCAATTCTAAATTTAGTGCCATATAGTACTTGTCGAACAATTATAGTATTCAATTGCAAGACTGTTCCATGTCTCAATCCTAGACATATCCAAAATATAAAAATCTCACTTTTTTAGCTTTATCCCTTCATCCAAAATAAAATTTAGTACCGTTTAGAGCAAATATAGGACGGATCTCCAAACCACCGCCAAATCTCAAACACATATACCACCAGTAATCTAAATATCTAATTTCAAAATTTCATCTCTGTTCCTTCAGCCAATACCAAATATAGTATCATTCAGTACTTTTCGTAAATTTTAGCCCGAGTCATGAAAAAGGATTTGCGGGTAAAATATCCGGGTCTGCCTCTCTAGATACTTTTCCAGAATTGGGGTACAAATGTCTACCTATGGAAATATTAAAAAACAAGTAAGCAAAGGCTACAGTCGAGCGGGGCCGACCGTTGAATACCCTACAACACTATAATAAACGATACAGTTTACATAGGCGAGATACTCGATAGAATTGCACAAGATATTGTGACAAATAATAAAAGAAAACCATCAGGTTTCGTTCTCTAATTTTCGAATAATAGCAACTTAAACTAATTTGATCATTTCCAATTTATTGGTAGATGTTGCACTTAAATGGTCTTCCTAGACCTGGAACCAATATTTCTTAAAGACCTATAATATCTCAGAAGTGGCAAAAGATTAACATTTATTATTGGGTTTCGACTGAAACGAACCTATATGAGATACAGACATTTGACTATATTCATCAACGAAATCAGCGTTAACGAAATAGTCAGAAGTGCGTCTTTCCTGTATTTGTGAATTCTCCAAAAAGTCACTGGAATGGACATTTTCGTATTTTGTCTACATAAGTTGGCAAACTATTTCACACATTGATTATTTTTGGATGGCCATCCAAAACTGCTTGGCTTTTACAATGTCCAGTAACCCCCATTCAAATGTGCGTGAGGATCGGGCGTTA